CAGGTTTTAATGCCACTAACACTTTCCACTGACCTATGACTAGACAAGCTGCGTTTCCCCCACATAATCATAGGACCCTAAGAGGGCAAAACCCACATTCAGAAGGATGCCTTTCATTTAGGATTTAGAGATGGCTCATGGCAACAGCTTTAGATTAGCTGGGGTTTGTACTTGTGCTCAGCAGATTTTCCATGCCAAGAATGGCCTTCCCTTTGTCTTGCTAACTTCAGACTTAGCCTTCCAGAATAGCCATCCATACTCACCTCTTCTGGCCCAAGCAACACTGTGGGATCTGTCCTCTTTTGTGACTGTCCAGATCCACTTTTACCTCATTGGAACCAGAGGGAATTTTGGAGGAAATGGAGTACAATCTTTAGATTCTCTATAGTGATGAACTGAATTCATAGCTCTGTTACCACTGGTGCAATTGATGAACTGGGTTTGAAAAAAAAAGATGACACACAGGGACCACTTTCTGCTGAAGCATTCTTGTTATTCAGGAGTGGTAGAAACAAGACCTCTTACCCATGACTGGAGTTTGGGCCCTTTGGAGCTTAGACCCCACACTTGGCACCCCAAACTGATGTTCCTACAGATTATAAACATTTGCAAAAGCTACTCAATAGCAAATGCCATCTGGAAAGGACATCACAAACTGCCATTGACAGCCATCAACACTTTATTTCAAGATAGGCTTGAAGAAACCCAGGTAAAATGTTAATCTTTGTGAGATCAATACTTGGGAATGGAAAAGGTCAGGTCTGAGCAGGGAGAGTGAGCTTCTGAACAAGAATGAGGAAGGTAAAGAAGAAAGATGAGGGAAAAGCAGGAATGCCTCAAATGGAAATGAGACAGCCGAGAAAGATGTCTCGTTCCTCAGTCAGCCTTTGGGGAGGCCTCCTGAGCATATTTCTGTTAAAACATGCATATACACACATACATTGGGGATAAAGAGAACCATATCTCATCAATTTGCAATCTAAGGAATCCACAAACTCTCCTTACGTTTTCCAGGTACAATTTGAAAGTCCAGGCAATGTGGATTAGATGATTTTGATTGCTATCTTATTTTGAAGAAACTGCCTTTGAATTACCCAGCTCTTTCTGTCAAGAGAATTTAATCCTAGTTTGCAAAGAGGACTTTTGAGGTTGAAGGTATATTTGGGCATCTTTAAGTTCAGGAGGCTTGCTATGGTAGGTGGAACATCTGCTTTGTTCAATAAGTAACTGTGCCTAAACCCTCTCCTGGTCTACATGCTCAAAGGCAGGGAAGGGTAGAAGAAGAAATATTTGATTATTGCCATCAGAAAGGGTGTGCGGGCAAAACAGATAGGGGTGTCTCTGAGCCAGTGCCTGCCACTGGCCAAGGCATCTGCAAACCATGCTTGTTTTCTGGCCATGAGAGAACAGGCTTGGCTGTCTCTGCCCTGTCTTCCTTTATAGCTCTCATATTCTTGGCCAGAGGAAGGTATGGCCATTGATATCTTTCCCGGGCATGGCTTGTTTTTCTTTGTAGATTTTATGCACTGGCAGCCCCAATCCCTGGGGTAAGAAAATGATATTTTAGAAAGAACAACAGCAGCAACAACAAAAACCTTCTATTGTGTGTGGCACTTATTCACATCTACAGCAATCTGTCCAGACAAACTTGCCATCCACCAGTCAGAAAACACCATGCCTCTGCACATATTTCTTGCCCATAGATACTTCCTCTGTGTGCCGATCCCACATGCTCACAGCAGGTCTTGTCTGTCCTCTGGCTGAGGTCATTTTGAGTCTTTCTACCTTGTGGAAGGTCTTGTGTAGGGTTGGGAAAAGAAGTGACTTCACTTTAGTTCCTTCCTCAGTGATTTGATTGGATTTTGATTTTGATTTTTCCATTTCCAAGTGTGTAGGTTTTTAGGGTTTTTTTCCTACCATAAAGAAAGAACAGAAACAGAAGAGGCAGAACCGAAAATTAATAAATACTAACCCATAACTTATTTTGTTGACCATTTTTAAAACTGGATGAATTTGGTTGGAGATTAAATCTAGTCTGGCTATATTTACAGGCTTTTTAGGATGCTCAGCCAGGTGCCTGGAGAGAGACCTGTCAAAAATTTCCTTCCCTTTCTCTTAAGCCTCCTCACATCTCCCCAATTGTTTCATTTGGACTTTTTCAGAACATTTCTATGATGTTTTCTCGTGAGAAAATATACAGATGAAGCATTGCCTGAGTCCAAAAATGAAGTATCCCCAGGGATTTGGAAAAATCCCTAAAATCATGGGTCGTTTGTACATTTGTTTTGAGGGGAGGCAGTAAAGACCAGGGAAAGAAGAGAAGCTTCTTCCCTTTTGCTGGCTCTGTCCTGCAAGGGTTAAAGGTGGGGGAAGCAAGAGGTTTCTACCAAACTTTTCCCCTTAGAACAAGCAGCTGTCTCCATTCACCAACCGGGAAAGAGGCTGATGGTGTCACTGACTAGCATACTCAGTGTATCCTGACCAGTGATGTCAAAAGCTCATTTACTGTTGTGTGTTTGCTTGTCGACTCTCGGGTTAGGGGATATTTTTGTGTTATAGGGCAACAGGAGAAGGTTTAAAATAGTCGCTTCCATTCTTCAGCAAAATCAATGTGAATCTTTACCACTATTTACTCAAAATATGTCATGTTGGGGGAAACGTGAATCTTTGGAACTTCTCTGTGATGTTATCCTTGAGGTCGATAGCTCTGAACTGCTCTAGTCTAAAATAATTTCCTGGCGATGATGCTAAGAGGACAGAGAATTCTGCCTACAGGATTCTGAAGAAAAATAAAGTTCCTTTCAATTACAGGGACTGTTCATACATGAGAGGTGCTGATAATATGTTCTTATAACCAAAGATAAGAAAATAAATAAAAATCAAAGTTAAGAAAAGCTATAAATGGATATCAAAATGACTCCCTAACAATGAAGCTTGAAAGTAGGGGGCATTTTCAATTCTCTCTTCTAGAGCATTATTTTAGACTGGAAGATACCAGTTTACTAGAGGAAATTTATGGAGGGGGACATGGGTCCTGTAACCCACAAAAATGGAAGTGCCCACATACACAGTTAGTACCAGTGATCACAAACACTGCCAGGAAAAAAAATCACTTGACAGTTTTGTACAAAATCTAGTTCCCATTGCCTATTTTCAGAAATGTTGGCATGGTAGATTTGGGGTGGCATCTGGCAATCTGTATTGCTTTTGCAGCATGTCGACTCTTGCAAAGCACAAATGTAGTGTTAAGGCTTTTGATGGAGATGCCAGGAGCCTAGGTTCTTCCGGTAGTCTATCACTAATTCATTAAAGAGACTTGCCTAGCTGCAGCTTCCTAACCTAAAAAAAAAAAAAAATCCACAAAAACTCTGCCCTGCTCACTTTGCTGGTCCTTCCAGCCTATAAGAGATGGCACAGGCTTCATATGGAAGAAAAGCACATTGCAAATGTAACTGAACAGTCCCTTTATCAAACTTTACATCCCTCATCAATCACTCTCCCAAATTAATCAGGAGAGACCCTCTCTCTTCCCAGCTAGATTTTCACATGGAATTTCAAATCCTCAGATATTAATCAGGAGGCTGCCCCATGCACAGACCTGTGGCAAGCCATACCGCCACTACCAACCTCTGTACTCTTGGGCAAATGATTGAAATTGTCTGATTTTCTATATCCCACCTGTGAAAATGGGATGCTTTTACCTGCCGTCCTGAGAAGTGGGAGTCTGGGAGGTCATTGCCACCTTTCATGAACCTGCTTCTACTCACCCACAAACTTTAAAGCTCCTCAAGTCACTCTTTCCATCTCCTACATGGAAATGGCCATATTGTGATGGAGGCTGAAGTTTCCATTGTATTTGGCATAAGGCACATTAGTAAAAACTTACACAGAATAATAAGCAAGTTTTTACCTTGCCAAAATTCTCAACAGAGTGCTCGTTATAAAGAACCATCCTGAAGTCAGGCAGCAATGTCTAATCCTAGGTGGGTGGTAAGAGCCACAACATTCCCAGAGCCTCTGCAAATCAGCTTTGTGAGCATCCAGAGCCCTACAGCACACAAAACTCAGCAATTCCAGAGGTGCCTGTAATGATGTCAAAAAAGCAAATAGGGTATATTCTGTGGGGTCTTTTCTGAGTCCACCTCTCCTGTGGGTTTTGTACCCATATGGCAAAGAGACATGGGAAAATAAATGGCTGTTGGAGATGCAGGGGCATGTGGAAGAATAACTTGGGATTTTAAAGAGTAACCCATATGGGGCATTTCATCCATAATCATCTCTGACATCCAAAGAGAGTCAGTCTGGCAGGTGGCAGGTGCCTCTGGGAACACAGGTTTTCTTTTCTTTCTACTTTTTTCTGGGCAGTTCTTTTTTAAAAAATGTATTTGTGAATCTGTAACAACAGCTATCTAAGAGTGTGTAACATTCAACTTGTATTATTATTACCATTATTATTGGCGAGTTCAAAAATATGGGGCAACATCCTTGAACCCTCAGCACAGGAATTCTTTTAAAGGAGATGGGAACATATTACCTGGCATTTGGCTTAGAGTCTGGACCACTGTTTTGAAGCCATCCTCATAGCTCAAATGGCTAGTGGTAGAAGAGGCATTCTAGCAAAACTGGACAGTCGCTTCCCTGAGACAAGGGCTGAGAGAAATAATCAAACTTAAGCCCAGGCCTCTCTGGGTGTTCCATGAAGTCTTTTCTGACTCCCACTCTGCAGCCAATGCATTCCCTTCAGGTCTGTAGGAGCACTATAGCATCTCCTGTACCCACCTGCCTGGCCAGTCCTTGCCTCAAACCTAACTTGTCTCCTCAGTTTCTTTCCAAAACACTTCCTAGTCATCTCTTTTCTTATTCCTCAACTGGGTAGAAACCTCTCCTCTGTACTCTATTACAATGGCCCATATAGGTATGGATTATTTTCCACCCACCCACCCACCCCACCCCTCCATCCATCCATCCATCCATCCATCCATCCATCCATCCATCCATCCATCCATCCACCCACCCATCCATCCATCCATCCATCCATCCATCTATCTGTCTGTCCATCCACCCATTCATCCAGCTGGTCTTTCTTCCCCATAGTATTGAAATCTGCAAGCAGAGGCTTTACTTATCTCTGTTCTTGGTATCAGCCTATACACAAAAGAGCTTAGTAGACATTAACAGATTGATTCATTGGATGGGTGGTTAAATGGATGGTCAATTTCAAAAGTGTATGTATCACACAATTATTCTCTTTTTCTCAAAACTGCATTTTGAAAGGTGGAGCTAATATACTTTACATTTTCCTACATCTAAGATATTTGGAGTGAGATGCTTTGCTTACCAATGATGCTGTGGTGGTTTGAATGAAAATGGCCCCCAATGTAGGCTCATATGTTTGAATACTTGGTTCCCAGTTGATAAAACTGTTTGGGAAGTATTAGTGGGTATTGCCTTGTTGGAGGAGGTGTGTCAATCAGGGTGGCTTTGAGGTTTCAAAAGAATAGCACCAAAGACTTGTACCATTCCCAGTATTCTTTCTCTGCCCCATACCTGTGGATCAAGATGTGAGCTCTCAGCTGTTCCTGCCCCATGCCTTTGCTCCACCATTTTGGACTTTAACCATCTGAAACCATAAGCCCCCAAATTAAACACTTTATTTTCTAAGTGGCTTTGGTCACTGTGTCTTATCATAGCAATAGAAAAGTGACTAAGACAGAGGCTTTGTGCTGTGGGATGGTCTGTATGCCAAATTGCTCTGATTGGTCAATAAATAAAACACTGATTGGCCAGTGGCTAGGCAGGAAGTATAAGTGGGACTAACAGAGGAGAAAAGAAAGAACGGGAAGGCAGAAGGAGTCACTGCCAGCTGCTGCCATGACAAGCAGCATGTGAAGATGCTGGTAAGCCATGAGCCATGTGGCAAGGTATAGATTTATGGAAATGGATTAATTTAAGCTATAAGAACAGTTAGCAAGAAGCCTGTCACGGCCATATAGTTTGTATGCAATATAAGTCTCTGTGTTTACTTGGTTGGGTCTGAGCGGCTGTGGGACTGGCGGGTGACAGAGATTTGTCCTGACTGTGGGCAAGGCAGGAAAACTCTAGCTACAGCTTTGCATCCATTAGAATAAATATCAGGCACTGCATGGATGGGGAGTATGACTGCGCATCTCCCTTTGAAAGCTGTGAGA